GCGCACACTACGCACACACTGCGTACACACCGCACACTACGCACACATTGCGCACACTACGCACACACTGCGTACACACCGCACACACTGCGTACACACCGTACACTGCGTAACACACTGCGCCACACACACAACAATAATAACTATCTAACAAGTGTACCTTATAACACTTTTACTGACACAAAAGTGTTCTTGTCCAAAGGGTAATGACACAAACTTGTCGTCTATGAGATATTAATTCCTCTTAAACCGATAAAGTTAAAGTAATTTATTTATTAGCTGTTAATAAAAATACACAAAAACCTAAATTTCCCTAGGCATCCTGCATTATTCTGAATTAAACAGTATCCTATTTTTACTCTAGACTTTGTTTTATATCGGTACCAAATTTCATCTAGATCTATTCAAGCGTTTAGAACACAAACTCTTAACCAACCCAACACTCATCCAAACATTACATTTATAATATTAGTCATAATTAATAAGAGAAATGTTTTTCAGGTAGTAAACCCTACAAATGCTCGCAATGCGAGAAATGTTTCCGCGTCGCGTACGACCTGCGCCGGCACATGCTCATACACGAGAAGGTGCGGATCAGGCTCGACGACATGAAGCCCAAACACAAAGACGGCAAGGACAACAAGACCAAACCTGACGACACCAAGACCAACAAAACCCTGGATGTGAAACCTACAAAGAAAACCACCACCAACAGACTTCCTATACTCAGAAGTATCTTAGACAAGAAACAACCTCCCAAAACCAAAACAAAAACTAAAAAAGGTGCTCCAAATGTGACCGTGGCTCAAAGTAAAGAAGTCGCTATTAAAATAACAGATAAATTTACTAATAATGTGGAAGTGTTTGATACCAGACAAGTAGAATATAATAAATATAAAGATGTTTTTGAATATAGAAATAATGAGGTGCTACAAACGTATAAAAAAGATTATTCAGAAGAAATAGTGTACAAAGATAATGATAGATTGACTGAAGAGAGAGAGTTAGCGGTTCTTAGACCGATGTTCCGGAACAGTCCGATAGAAGAATTGGAAAAAACTCATATAAGATCGGATAATACTGATGGGAACTTCCAAGTGTTTACTCATATGGAGAAGAATACAGATGGGAATTACCATGTTTACACACATTCTGATAAAACTAAAAACTATATAGTGCCAGCAAATAATTCATCTCTTGATAGAGAAATTAATAGGGAAGTGAGGAACGATGGACTTTCTTCTGAAAATATGGACAATGTGTTCTTAGAAAGATTAAGTGCATTTTACAATATAACGGCTGTATAAATGTGATGTTTGGTGATATCCCGTTTGGGACCAAATAGTGAAATCGGTTTTTTTTAAGTGTAAAGTATGATCTCTATGGTCTTATGTACTTTTATTGAAGATAAGTTTGGGTTATATGGTAATACCTATTTGTGAAAAAAACATTCTATATCATGTAAAAGTTAGTATATTTGAAGAAAAAAGTATATTTGACCTTTTTTTATTGGAATTTGCTAATCTGTGGGTAATTGGAGATTTGAACAATTTTACTAATTTCAATAAAAACATGATGTTTGTTTTAATTTTAAAATTAAATTAAAACAGAAATTTATAATTTACTCAATGTTAGATCATATATAAAAAGTACAATCAAAATTAAAACCGATTGCATGTAACACAGTTAATACATTAACGTAAATGAAAATCTTATTTCTGTTTACCCCTTTGGGATAATGGTTTTAAGATGATGTAATTGTGATATTACAGTAGTTAAAGTACATACTCCTATATTCCTTCCAGTATGTAACATAGTTAATTTACTAAAAGTTATTTTTTAATCAGAGAGATAAAATTCACATACAAACATACAAATGTTAAATTTCACAATTTTACATTTTTCTTAATTACCTGGTGACAATGGTTTCTTATATTCCAACTTTTATTAATAGACAGTATTAAGAATAATTAAATAATGACGATTTTTGTCTTACTATTAAAATGCAAAAGCTAACAACACTGATATGAGATTTTAATAGCTCTGATTAAAATATAGACATTGTTGATGTTAAAATATTTCGCATCTTAAAGATGTATTTAATCTGGGAAACACTGCCTATAAACACTAATATATTTCAGAAAATAAAAAAATAATTAAAAAAAACCAACTGTTTTAGAAAATTTATGTGTAAAAGTGCCTAAAAGTGTGGAATTTTGGTATTTAAAACTGGTCAAGTAACACTTTCTGGAAAAATGATTATGTAATTTTTAACTTTATTACTAAAACTTAGCTCTGTGTTCAACTAAATCAGTTTTATGTTTTTAACTTTAGTGTACTAAGGTGCCAAGAAACAGAACAATATTATGTGTATATATTTGTTATATATTAAAAATAATGTAAATAACTCTTGTATATAAAATGAACTGAATACCAGCATAATATGAATGAACAATTTGTAGGATGCAGTGAGAAATCTATGTTTTATTAACATAAGTAAGATATCCACCGCAGATCTAGTTGTAGTTAAGAATTATTGTTAACTTTTTAATTATTATGTTTACCTTCATTTTCCTTCACACTGATTGTTTTTTATGTTAACGTGATAAATGAAATAAATGTCGCCAGCAATTTATGAAACCATATACCTTTTTTTTTCTTTTTTAAATTTATATTTCCAAAAATCTAAACCTTATAATAAATTTGAATACCTAGAAAAGTTTATTTTTCATTTTGGGACCATAAAATAATGATTAAATCGCAAAAAAGTGCGCCAGAAATAATCTATAAATCTATTAAGAAATAGGTTACGTCCGATCTTTACATACAAAATTAGAAATGGGGTTATTCAAATACACTAAATATATCGACAATGAATCGTAAATTGTTCTCAGTGAAAATTATCGGCAACGTTAACTGCGGGTAGTCGATGCGCGGAGAATTCCCGCCATTTCCGTTTGATTTACCGCCAAGAATTCGCGCGGTCGCTCGCGTAGTCGGACATAGATTTTCATTCATCCTCGTATATTTGTTCCTGATCACTATACGATATTTACACAAGGCTAATTTAGAGTAAGAGGCAATATGTTACTCGTTTTATTCGAATACCATCGCGTTATATGTAGAGCATTCCATAGCCGTTACAATTGGATCCTTTTAGAACAGGAATTTAGGATTCCAGGAAGTTCGCTGTTCACGATATCGTATTTAGGGAGGTAGGAGATGCTTTTGTTATTGTATCTTTTGTAGTGTAAACGGTTGTTTTAAGAAAATAAATAAGTTTAAATAATATACGCAAGAGCTGCATGTACTTGAATTAACCAAATCAAACTATTAGGCGCTATAAATCTTGAATGCTGACTTAGGTATCAGTAGAGGACTTTTCAAATTTTTATCCATGAAAATCTCTCCCCTAGACACTCGGTTATAATTTATTTGTCACCCTTATTTCCAGTCCACTTCCAACTAACAACTACCCACAGTACATTTAAATTATTATATTATCCATTTAAAACTGTTTTGCAATAATATATCTATCAAGTAAAGAAACTATTAAAACTGATAAATTGCTTGTTTGTTTTGCTAATATAACGTTATCTTGTGATATGCTTGTTTTGATAGTTGAGTTTGAATGCGTTTTTTATTCTTTATTGCGCCGGCCTCTGCCAGCCAGAATACACTCAAATGAACTCTTTATGGTTTTCTCTTCGTATGTTTCTCGCACACGTTCGCGTAATATTTTTTCAAGTCTATAATTATGTTTCTTCAAAAGAATCAACTTGTTTTGATCGAAATATGTACAGGAACGTGTTAACGTGGGCCGCAACTAAAATTATTTGCTTGTAAAATGTTTTTGCACTCACACTTTTACACAGAACACACTGGAATTTGGTTCTGGTCAAATGAGTAAGTATAGAAATATTCCTCGTGGGCTTAAAAAATGTGGATACGTGCCTGATCGCCGGTGTATGGAGCCGCAGGGATTTTCCACTGAAACTGTAAAGCGAGGAAAGTTGGTACTCGAAAGTTGCGCGTGCGCTACCCAGATAACGGCTTTTTTACTATCATTGCCCGACGATATATGAGATTTAAAGATCACAGTATATATTTCTTAGCGAATATACTATAAAGTCTTCTACTAAAGAATAAATTCATTTTTTTTTGAACATCACTTTATAACAATATTCTACAAATAGGTACTACTACCAATAAATTTGTTAATTGCGAAAATATATGTTCGTTTTGGGGGATATAATGGTTACAGATGACCGACGATCAAGCTTACGTAGATAAATGTATAGACGTAGACGCAAGAAATCCGTAATTTCTGCCTACCCAACCCAAAGGTCGAAGTATTATGTTAGAGTCAATATTAATTTAATAGAACATTCGAATAGTTTCCACAGTTTACAATCGACTGTTCAGGGGAAAGTGTGAGTCAGAAAATCGATTACGTTTAATCGGTTTAAAGAACCGTGTCTTTCAGCGATCTCAACGAATTAGCATTAATTCTAAACTCATCAAACAAACACGTCCGAGCGCTGGCGAATGCAAACAAACAGTGCAGTCCACGCGGCCGACGGCCACGCCCACACACGTACCGTTGAACCGATCCTAATTAAAGACCATTGTTTACGTTCAAAAATAATATATTCAGTACGCGCGCTAATTCGAGTGTTGCAAGTCTAAAATAATTCGCGCTCCCGCGGGTTAATGACGCGCGCGTTGCGCTACCGAATTTACCATTTTAGGCAAGGCGCAAATTAACCAATTAGTTAATAAAATTTTTTACTCGGATTTCGTTTACAGGAGGTTTGTATTTTCATTTAAAGATGAAAAATTATGCCATGGATATAAAAAAACAGAACAGGATTTTAGAGTACTTGTAATTTTAGTATACTACTAATTTTTTAGCCTATTTAAACCTAAAACAAATCTTATCGTGTAACATGGTTAATAATCTGTCATATTAAAAATTTCAATTTGACTTCATACAGGAAATGTGAAATACGTAACATTGTTAGTATTTGCTCCAGAAATTCATAAATAAATCTAGAAATTTAGGAATACTAAAGTGTATAGGCGCCGTGTTGTCTGCCGCGGCGACTGGCGAGAGGCAGCCGCTCGCATAAACATTTTTTTTCATTATCGATAACATTTGCTAGGAGGAGTGAGAGGAGTGAGGAAACTTGTGGGTTTTGTATGATATCCTTAGAACTATCTTACTATCTAATATAGTTACATCTTTTTCGTGCATTTTCGTTTTGATTGTCTTTTTTCTCAGAATTTATACGTTCTTTGTATTAAGGGCCCTTAAAGGCTAAAATTAAATTATAAATTTTATATTCAACGCAGTAATATTAGTAATTCGTTTCATCGGCCGCTTATTCTGCCGTCAATGGCCAAGATTAACTACACAAACATATTCCTGATCCCTTGTCCGTGATTCATTGTTTATAATTACGAGATTTACAACTGTTTTACTGCATGATAACCATGCGTACGTAGGTTTAAATTCCACACGCCTTACTCAATTCTACAGTTATCTTTAAAACCTGTAGTGACGTCGTAAAACTCGTGACGTCGTTAACTTTAACAGGATTACGAAAATAAACGTCTTATGTACAGTCAGCAGCAAAATATTTATACTTTTACAAATTTTACAAATACATTTTCGGTTTAAAAAATATGTATTCATGCTTCCTACCTACAATACATGTTATTTACATGTTTCTAAAGTTTTGTAAATGTACATATTTATGCATTCGACTGTACAAAAATCACAAATTATTTTCGCCGCTTAGTCACTTTCTCGTGACAGATGTTTGCGTTGATCAAAATGCGCTAAAACATTTGCCCGATGTTTGTTTTTCTACGACATTAAATGCATCAACACAGACTACTGAAAAACAGAATGATATTGACGTGTTATTTAAACAATATGGTTGGGAGATAACATTTTTTTTCATCTTAGAACCTAGACTGTCTGGTGATGTGATCGTGAATCACCATTATTACTACTAATCCTATTAAAAAATAAACACTAACAGAAACCTCTTTGCATAATTTTGTAGCTCTAGACCCTATAGTTTGGATTGCGTTGTTAAGCCATTCAGTTTTTTCCTTTCTCTAGTTTGAAACAAAAGAAACAAACTATGATTATAAATTGGACTTTTCGCTTCACCTTAAACAGTTTTTGCATGTCCACGGCCGGATATGGTATTACCCAATGTTGTAACGATCAAACTGTTAAGTTTTTATTATAACCAAAATTAACCGTATCATTGACTTGATATGCTTATTATGACAGGATCTATGTTAAGCGATTTGTTCATAGCTTTGTGAATGCTGTATTTTTTAAGAATTAAAAACTAAAAACTGTTATTTCAATTCAGGTATTTTCACAATCATGTTTTTGACGCAGTTTGTTTTGGATATTGCGTCATGTGACGTTTATTGTTTTTTAAATATTTGGTCACAAAATGAAGGTAAATATTTGCAGAGTGATACAGCAACGTTACATTGGCCGGTCTCCGTTTGCCGAGTGACGCGGGGATAGGTTCGTCATTAGTTTAAGGCCCCTCCCTCTGTACATCTCTTATGCATATAACCGCTTATCTTAATACGTCTTGGAGTAAGACAATCCTAGATTTTTTATAATATAAGGTGGCAAACGAACAAGCGGCCAGCTGAATCCACCGAAATGGAAAGCGACCGCTGCCTATAAACATCCGCAATTGCTGATACGTTGCCTACCCTTAATTGACGAGGAGGAGACGCACATAAAGCGGATATTTCCTCTTTCTATGCATCTTGTCCACCGTCAAACACACTTTTCCTTCACATCCTTTCCTCTTAAGAAACGGGTGGAAAGGAAAAAGGACTAAAATTAGGCCTCCGGCACCACACTCATCAGACGAAACGCGGAATTGCCTTCACTTCAAGCCTGTTTTCTGTGTGGTCGTGGTATTGCTGGTGGCGAGCCGACCCATTCTTGCAAAGATGTTAAAGCGGGCTCTGCTCAACCACAGTTAAGATTATGCAATCGTATATCATTAACGCAATCATAATTAATTTAAATGCAAAAACAATGTAAAAACCAATGTTTAAATACTCAGATCTAAAGTAATTATGAAAGTTCTCTCTTGTACCAAAATAAAGATTAACAAAATTACATAATAAATCTGGTTTAATATTAGAAATATGTGAAGTAAATAGAATGTTTAAAGTAATCATTATTGATATATCACAAACGGATTTATCTGATAACTTAGACGTCAATTATCGCAACATATCCGGATCATACCAGTTCCACATCAAAGCCTCGCCGACGCCGACGTACACACGCAGTTTATTTCTGCTAACGTTTTTTAATCTGGAATATACGCAATGGGGGAATAACTGACTTTTTGCCTAATGTTGCTTTTTTCTTATGTTTTTGCGGTGAGTTCGCACGCGCCCGCGGCGTCCTAACAATGGACGATTTGCGGCCATTTCGACTGTTTATTGGCTTTTAGTTCCGTAATGAATGTAATAAACTGCCAGTTATAGTTAGTGTGATAAAAAACAGCTAATTTACTGTAATTTTATTATTTTAATGATCCGTACCGTTTTTATCATATTGTTTGTGTGGCTTTATGAAATTTGGTTTATTTTCAAACCGCAATTTTAATGAGAACTATTTTATTACATAATGAAGGGTATTTTTTATTTGAAAAGTAAAACATTGCTAACAAAAAATTTTTAAATTTATTTCAATGCATACATTTAATACATAGTAATTTTCCTTGTACTTAGTTAACGCACTACCGGTACGTCTCCAGGAATAGCGGTGAGTAATGCTACGCGTGTAGCAGTGTAGCACTGTGCTACGACACTACGAGCCAGTAACACAGTACATTGTAATGTCCTTTAAAATTAGCTGCATTTCGAAACAGACATAGATGAGGCGAGTCACGCCATAAACATACTATAAAACGTTTACATGAAGATAAATATAAAATACCCACGTGGTTTAACCTTGCTGCATTACCGTGTTATTTTTTAAATTAGATGAACTCTGCCATAATGTAGATTTCTCTATTACCGACTGAATACTGTTTAATTGTTACAAAACATACCATAGACACTTCTGCTAGTATTCATGATTGTCCTGCAATAGCTTCAAGAATTTACTTTATCTAGAAAATAGAACTTAGAAACTGTGTAACTTAACAATTTGTTATTTAAAACAAGCAGTAAATTTGCTAATTCATATTACACAAAACGCATATAACCTTTTACAATTAGTATTTTCCTAGAACTAAAGCGACAAGATCTAATTATAATTAGTTCTTGACCTTTCTCAGAATTGCATTACATTCATCCTCCGCCTGCACCCGCGTTTGCGCTGCGTCCGTGCCTGTACCGTTTTCCTCCGACTTAAATGATAAATTGATTAATACTCTCGGGGACTTCACCACGATAAAGATTATTAAATTGATTTAATTGGAATATTTGTAATTACATTATTAGCACATATTCGACTTAAGTATGCAGATAAATTGATTTTAATAATTAATAATTTGTAAATACCCATAATATCCAACAAGAATATAGTTTGTTAAGGAAAGTGTGAAATTTATCTGTATAGTGGCCCAACGTCATCTGGTTCGGTGCGACGCACTGCTATCGCGGTTACTTCTATCAGAAAATCAATAAAATGTAGACAGGCGTAGAAAATAACATAAAAGAAACAATAATATGACAACATGTTTTTTGTATTTAGGGAGAGGTGGCACTAGTTAGCTATCGTTAAGAGTCACTAATGCTTAGAGCGCGCACACCTTTGACCAAACTATCGCACAACTGTTTAGTCGCCCTTTGATTCTTATGAACTTATATTTAGGAGCGCACACTACTCGATATTTAACTGTGCTCCTAAACATTTGAACTGGCTGAAAAACAATAGACAATCGCACAATATTTGTGGGATAGTTGACTCAAAGGTGTGCTCCCGCTGTTATGGCCGATGGCTTACTAATGCTTATGGCCGATATACGATTGATCAGAAAACTTTGTCAGTGGAGTGAATGTATTTGTCACTCCTAGAATTGTATTCTAACATCCGTCAGATTATTTCAACCAAATAAATGACGATATTTTGCGAGCATTATAATTGGTGTGTGTTTAGTAAATTTTCATGTAACCTCTAATTAAAATAACATTTTAACATCTACGTAGCTATAACGCTAACGTAACGACGCGTGTGTCACAATTTGTTGATTTTATTAACAAGTAAAACGTCAAAGAGAAGACTTCAAGACGTTATTTATGATGATTAATATTATGTCAATAAAAATAATATAGCCTTAAAATAATGAATAGTCTAGAAAGATTGTAGCTATCTCTTTTTTAATATGAACGTATTTTCTAAAATTGTCTCATTAATTTTCAATCTAACTATGAAACCGTTGTAGAGAGTAGCTAGTTAGCGCAAAACCGACGAAGCTATAATTTGCGGAATTTATGAATACATCATAACGCAGCAGCTTAACTGACAGTTAAAGTACAATTAGAAATCGCTATAGATTTGTTTAATATAATTTCTTAGCGGCAAGGTTTAAGGTTAACAAGGATTCAAGAAATGATTCCAATTGATTGAAAGTTTGCCTAAGGACAGGAGTCCTTCTGAATAATCGTTGTGCCTCATTGATTTCGTTAATGTTTTAATGTAAAATGGGACCCACCTGCAAGCATTACCTTTCGGATAAAAAAAGAATTATCAAAAGCGGCGGAGTTATGCCGTAACACACATAAAAAAAAACATACAGACGAATTGAGTACCTCCTTCTTTTGGGAAGTCGGTCAAAAATAATGTAATACCACCGTATAAAGCAACTATACATTTACGGGTGGTATTCTCGTTTTTGAACTATCAATATATAACTGGCTATATTACCTTATGTTACATCATTATTTATCAGTAAATTGTCACGTTTCGTTTTGATAAACGCTATTTTCTTTTCTACTGATGTTTTTCATTGCTTTATTGACTCGAATACATGAACTATTGGAGTTATAACGTAGAGCAGTTACAAGTAATGTACTGTTTAGTGTATTTGTCCAGTAGATAGTAGTAATAACTAGTATCAAACGCCTTCTGCGTCACTATCTCTACACTTAGCACAAGATATGTCACGGTGACTGACCTTTTTCTTAACTACGTCGCACAATGAGTAACGTGACCGAAAAATTTCACTCAATCATTCCTATGAATCATTGACATATATAGGTAAATGAAAGTCTGTTTAAAAAAAAATTAAGTACAAATTTATTTAAATTTATAAATAAAAAAAAATGTTTACACAGTATGTGATTCTATCACTTGTAGCTTTTGAAGCTTACCTTAAAAACTATTAATAAATTAATTAATTTAGAAAACGAAGGGAGATTCCATGCCTTTGGCACAATTCAGACTAGGACCCTGACAAATTAAACTCAATACAGTTTACAAACGAAACATTGCTATAAAAAGAAAAGCGAAAATTTATACAGAGAGCTAATTAAATTGATTTAAAATAATTTAAATAAATACACTTAAAAGAACCTTTTGACTAGAAGCAAATGTTCTTATTAGCTATTAAGTAAATGCCTTAACAATAACTAAATAACCTACTGGAATGACTATATCACAATTTAGGAATTGCGCAAAAAGCGCTTAATATAACCTATAAAATACTGAGTAGTGATGTCCTAGCACTTACAAACTATCGAGACAAAGTCATATTAAAAGTAATCAAAGCCATTTAAACTATTAAAATAAATAATACAAAACTAATAGGATTTGAAACTTAAGTACAAAGAATTTTAATGGAACTAAGTTAAGTCACAGCATAATTTGGTCCCATAATCTTATAAACTAAACAAATAAATTAACTTACATCAATAATACTGTTTAAATTTCAACAATACGATTTTTTAAACACTTAATTCAGTCGTGCAGTAATGCCAAATGTTTCTGTCACTTCAGAGTCACTAACACTTCACTTGAGCTATAGATCAGAATCCTGGAGGGAATCCTCGTCTCGCCTTTCTCTTTTCTTCACAAATACATTTATACCGATTCCACTTCATATTCTGGTTCCGCTGTAACAATAAGAAAACACTGTTCGAAAAACAATTCGGATCTCTCTAGATACGTCATCAACAAGTCTGAAGAGATTGTCAAATATTTCTGATGCTTAGAGACGAAGATTTTTATACTCAATCAATTAATCCATTAAATGAATGAGTAGGAAATACTATTAAGTGTTTAACAAAACAAAAATTTAAGCAAAATATAAAGCAAACAATAAGTGTGAAATTAAAATCAGTTAAAGAAGTATTTTGTAAGACAACGGATGTCGGCACGGCACACGCTAACCAAAACAATGATAGAATGAAGATAATGGTAATTATTACATATATGAGTATTGGATAAGTACAAATTCATGCAAACAACAACAATAGCTATATTATATAACTTATATGCAATAATCTGAAAACACATTAAAACGGTTGCTTCCAATAAAGATAAATCGAAAAGTTAAATTTATGCAAATAAAAAAAGTTAAATAAGTGAAAGAATGCGATAATATTAAAAACTAAAAATAGGAGAAATTGAATTGCTCTGAATGAAAAAAAAAAACATAATGAAAGTGGACATTGATCAAGCGTTATGTTATGAGCCTGGTGGCGTGCGATGCGCCGGCGCCGCAGCTGCGTTAGTGCACAGACATCCATCATCTTACGCACCTTCCTGTGGCAACTCCGCTTCTCCTCGACGTTGGGACATTGACAGGAGCACTTACGGGGGTTATACACCCTCGGCGCCCCGCACTCCGAGGCTGACAGCGCGCAGCAGCCGCAACTCTCGTGTACCTCCACAGGGTACGTTGAACAAGTCTCCTTGTTCGTCTTTACATTGTATATCCTCACCTGCAACAACATAATACGTCACAAGTCGAACTAACAGCTATCGAGTGTTTGATTAATTGCTAAGATAAATTTTGGCTCGTTGTCAGCTCTGACCTATTTTACAGAAATAGCTCGAATCTTCGCACCCTTTTATGTCTTGTGTCGATTTGTTAAACGATTTAATAGCGGTTTTGTTTTAGATAACGTTTATTTCTTATCTAATCGTATTACAATAGATGTGAACAACCTTTGCTAGTTGACTAAAGTCGAGCTACTCATTGGAAATGGAAATTCCAGGTGCGACTGAAACAGTTATACCTAATACTTTGTCTTCGGAGATTTTGCCACGAAATATATTTATGTAATTACTGTGTAACAATAATGGGAATGTTTCCAAATCACTTCCGGTTTCAAACGTTCTACTGAGTCATTTACAATTATAGAGAGTGTATCAGAACAAATAATGAAATGGACGATTTTAACTCGTCGAGTCACATGTCTGCGGCAAGTACTAGAAGATGCAACTTATGTAATTGTTATCATTAAGGGCACCAATTGCGCAACGACGTCAGCCGCCCAGCGGCCGTCGGAACTGTGTCAAGGATGCACCTAATTTAGCAGAGATAAACATACTTGTCCTTACGATACGAGGCGGTACTCACCGGTATGTGTTGGATTTTAGTTTTGGTGGCGACGCACTTAGAACCCGAGGCCTCGTAGTCGCAGAGGCCGACACAGCGCTTCACCCAAACCGCGCCAGGGCTCACCTGGGGGAAAACCGACAGCGTCACAATACATTCAATCTAAGCGGATTTTCTCACGCATCTTTGATCATCGCAATTCCGGATCTATACGACAATTTACATTTTAATTTTTAATTTGACAAAACAAACCTAAAAACTGTCGCATAAATTTAAAACGTTACCAATTTATAAATAAGACCATTATTGGATATTCATTATTATGTTATCTATTAATGAGCAATTAGAAAAGTATTTTAATTGGATACAATTAAGATATAGTCAGTTCAACAATGTAGATATAATAGAAAGCTTAGTATAATGAGGTCAAAGTATTAATGAGGTATTGCGCCATTTCGTCAAAAAATATTTGTTATAAAATTAAGTACAGGTCGGAATTGAATGAAGTTTGAAGTATTTACCTGTTCATGCGTGGCCCGCGGGTGCAGGTGCACGAACACCTCCTTAGGCTCGCCACATTTTGACTTCTCGATTAAATCATTTCTTAACAGGTCATTTTCACTTGAACACGCCACTGTCGAAAATAATACATTCATTAGTTATGTTACTTCGAAAACACTGGTTCAGAAATTAAAATAATAGAGTCATGGTTCATCAGCAAGACTCTCACTGTCACTAAAACGGGGCGCGAGTTGCATCAGCGAGGGTGTATTCACCTTTCTTGTAGAGCGCGGTGTCGACCTCCTCCGAGGACTTGGGGAACTTGGGGTGGTGGCGGTGCGCGCC